ATGGATGGAGATCTTGCATTCAGTGTTTTTAATTCTAGACTTAAATGTTTTTCATGTCTAAAATAAAAATTATTAAAAGCAACAACATCCTTGACTCTTCAAATTATGGTTTTAGCCATTACTTGAATGGGTTGCAAGTCATTTGTTTGCCTTTTGAGCTCCAGTGTGGTGGTTTTCATTGTGTTTGGAGCACACAGAAATATTTTAAAATATATATTTACAGAATTTGTAACCAAACAGACGAAATATTAAATCTTAAAATCTAAACAATATGAGACTGACACAAGCAAGGAAATGTGCATTAGGAACCCTGGTCGTACATGATCTGATTTAAAAAAACAAAAAAAAAAACAGAATCTGTGTCTAAGATAAATTATGATTCAAAGCCCCACGATTATGGCGTTTCATTCCTGTGTTGAATAACCTGCATGTTCTGCTCTGATTTCTTCAGAAGCTTCTGCAGGCCAGCTGGTGCTGCTGGAAATCTTCTTGCTGTGTCTGATGTGTGCTGCTGCCTTCCTGCTGCCGCCTGCGGCCTCTTTATAAAACCAGGTTGTACCGCGAATCGCTGGAGGCACACGAGTCCTCCTATTGTAAAACTGTGAATAATAAATACCACCAGCCAGATATTATAGTGGTCATCGAGCAAATAATGTGAATCTATATAAACTTTTAAGTGCAAATGAAGATCTTCCAGGTTTTTACTGAGGAACCAGTTGGGGTTATAAATATTTATAAACTAGTTTTTGGTATGTCTGTGTTTGTTTTTAAAACGCCAATTTTCCAGGCACATACTGCTATAGCACAATCAGCTTACTATGGTACTGTGAGTTGTAATAAGAATTCTGTATATATAGCAAACATCACTTTTAAAAAAATTTGACTTCGCAATTAAACTTTCTAATTGTTGCTCTGAATGTAAATTTGGAAAAATTTAGGTGAATGTTTTTTTATTCTTGTCCCAATTCCCTGATTTAGGAAGACCAGCCAAAATCTGTGGTAAACGGGAAATTAGACATTAAAATTTACAGACACTATTTATATCTTTAAAAGTGTATCTAAAAAATAGGACCTAAAAGATGGATGATTTTACTTCTTATTTAGTTTGGGGGAAAGCCAATAGTTTACCATTTTAATACTATTATTATTGTCATTATTATAAATCCTAGTGCGAAAAAAATAATAAAAAACAGTCCTCAAATTTGTCTCTTGAACGTCCTAAAATCGCCATCCAACCCTGAACCACACAGACAGTAAACACTTTTCACTGAGAAAGAGGCGAGTCTGGATCCCTCTGAGTCTACTGGCTGAAGCCACTGTCATGTGGCCAGTGACGTCAGAGACGAAATGGCAGCCTCCTTGTTTAGTAAATTGACACAAGGTCCGAGCTGGTAAACAAAAATACGCTTCGATTTTTCTCACCGGAGCCACCTTTGAGGGGCGGAAGAGCGGGTGTGTATTCAGTGTTTCGCCGGCGGGTCGTAGCGGTGCTTTAGCTAGCCTTGCTTCGGAGGGTTCGAGCTTCTCCTCACAGGGGGAACTGCGGACTGTTTTCAGATCGGCTATAACCAGACATGGGTCTGGGATCTGCTACTAGCAGGTCTAAATCGGTCTCTTTTACTGGGAGAAACCAACGAATCTTTATTACTCCCACACGCCGCCACACCCACCACGTAATTCATAAATGAGTTACTAATATCGTCGGCCTGTTGATCCTGCCTCCACAGGAATAAATAAACAAACAAAAAAGACAAAAACCCCCTCCACATATAATTCTACGCCACAACATATTTACTTATGTATTTATGCTGTACATGATGAATAATAGTTGCTAAGTTATGAAGGGATTGGGAGAATTCATCTTATTAATTTTGTGAACTTGTAAACAACAATCTCATGCAGAGCTTTTAGCCAATAGGAGAGCTCATCGATGAAGAGCTTTGAGACGTGATTGGTCTGTTTGTGGGTATTTTTTTTTTTGACGTCGTGGCGTGCCCCCATAAGTTAACGTGAAAGTGGTGAAAACAACGTACAGGTGCAATAATTAAGAATATCGCTTCGGCGACTGCCAAAAGGTTTGTGAAAAAAGGCAGTCGCCTTTTGTGAAGGATGTTATGGGCAGTCTGCATAATAATCCTGTATTAAATTGAATCTTTTAATTAGTATTTAATGTAATATTCACATTTTCAATTAAATTTAATTTGGGATTTTTTTTTTGGGGGGGGGGTTGTATTGCCAAAACAATTTACAGCAGTAGTATATTATGCTGAGAGTCTAAGCAATCTGTATAATCCATTAGTTTCACTTTATGAATTAATTGACCGAAATAAGTACATTTTCTGATGACATCCTGAGTCATTGAGATGCACCTTTAGTTTGTGAGTTTGTCTGTGTAATATTTAACCCCGACTGCCTCATAGTTGCTGAACTGGCACATTATGGCAGATTAAAGATCCAGGTGTGGTCTGTGACTTTGAGCTCCAAGTAGAGTCAGTCAGGTTGAGTGCCGCAGTCGACATGGCTTCTCAAAAGTCAGGTAAAATTGCCACTAATTAGCAAGATCCAAGAAAGGATGGACATTTTTTATCTTAACTACCACTTTTCAACTTGTATAAAGTGCTCATAAGAAAGTGTTTGTTTTTTTTAATTGCTCAGACAGAAAATATGTGATTTTGTTTTCTTGAATGCAGACACAGCTATGTCTCCAAAGATCACTGGGGAGCTTCTGCGGCTTCTTCGGCAGGTGATGAGGAGTTGCAAATATTTCTCAGAGCCGATCCACGCCTACATAGTCCCATCTGGAGATGCACATCAGGTATGAGAAAAAAACATACACGTTATTTACACAATACTTCCCAATTTGAATATAATTTTATGCATATCTAGAGATTAGACCAAAATGTATGGGGGAAATTTTCCTGTGCCTAATTTGAGAGCACACATTTTTGGTCTGAAAGCAGGATTTCATGTATTTTATTCTCAAAACTTTTCATATTTGTGCTTACATTTTTATTTCGAAAGCAGGACTTTACGTCTTTCTTCTCAAAACTTGTAATGTTTGTACTCACAATTTCAAATATTCACTGTGCTTTCTCAAACCTTTCCTCCTCGCGCTCAAAACCCGTCTCTGCTCGGATTAAACCTCCGCTTGCAACAACCCACATTGGGTTTTAGAGCCAAAAGAGTAGACCCACATTGGCTTAAAAATTGTGTTTATTTTGTGGTATGGTTCCCAACGTAAAAGCTGCAGTACGTAACTTATTAACAATATGTTTTTTTTACACATCTGTTAAAACTGTCACTGTGTTGTGATTGTATAACATGAGACAGACACTCCGTGAAAACATTTAGCTCCTCTCCCTCCTTGCTGTGGTGCTACTGCCATCTTCAGAAATGCATAGTTGGATCAGAAGCAACCAATCAGAGTCAGGAGGAGGGTCTTCTCGCTGTCAACCACACTCGTGTAGGCACCGACTGTAAATTATGCTGATTTGAGCCTGCTTTTGTCTTACAGAGTGAATACATTGCACCATGCGACTGCAGACGGGAATTCATCTGTGGATTCAATGGTTCTGCAGGTAATGTTTTGCTTGGATGTGAGCAAGAAGTAAGCAGCCGCTCCAAGCGACTGCTGAGAATCACCTGCTTTTAATCTTTTCATACGTTCAGAAAGACTTCCAGGTTTATATCTGTTCTCATCTTCGTCTTACTGAGTCCATCACCCGATCTTACTGTAGGATTATGTAAAAGCCGGTCCGTTTTTTATTTTTTATTTTTGTTGAGACAAGCCTCACTTCAGAAGCAAGCATCTTTCGTAATGGAGTGAAGACGAGCTCACTTGTTATCCTCTACTGTAATCATAGATTTTACCGTTTAAAACTGTGTAACGGCTCCTCAGACCCGGTCAGTCCGAATGTGATCCTGTGTGTAACAAAACACAAAGGTAAGCAGCTCTTTCATTCTGCTTCATTATTCAGGAACAGCCATTATCACAGAGCAGCACGCTGCCATGTGGACAGACGGACGATATTTCCTCCAGGCCAGCCAGCAGATGGACAACAACTGGGCTCTGATGAAGATGGGTGAGCCCCCTTATTCTTAAAAAGAAGGGTCAAATTAATAATGACAAATAAAAGCATTGTAAGCATCTTTAAAACTTAAGTTAGTTCAAGTTGTACCGTGCTCCTTTTACATACTTACAGGACTGAAGGAGACACCGTCACAGGAGGACTGGCTGATCAGCGTCTTGCCAGAAAACTCCAAAGTGGGAGTAGATCCTTGGATCATCGCTGCTGGTATGAGACGTTGACTTATTTCCTTTGCCTGTAAGGCTTTGTGTGTTTGGTGTAGCACCTCAGAGTGACATTTCTTTATAGAAGATGATGCATGTAGCTGAATTAAGACCCATCTCAGGGGCCGTCGTTAATCCTACGGTCTCCAGGACGAATGTTGCTGGTAGACAAATTGGGACAAATTAATTTCAGTGTAAAGTACGACTGTTTTAAGTTTTTATTTTAGTAATCGAATTCTCTGTGGATCATTCTGATGATTAATTGAGTGTTCGAACAAAAATGTAAAATTCTGCAATAGTGGCAGCCATAAATATTGGCCCAAATTTTCGAATCTGCACATCCTTATCAATTCTGTAGCTTAGAAAATTAACTAGAAAAATTACGAAAATGCCATCCGATTATCACAACCAGGCGTTGAATTCTCGGTCGAGGTGCGTTTGTAAACCCCAGGAGCCACTGCTTGTGTCTTTCTTCCTTCCACTCCTCTTTTCTCGGTGGTAAGCACAACACCAGGGTTTCTCTTTGACTCGTATGCACAATTTGGAGGTGAGTGCTGTTCTCTCCAGCTCCAAACTCGCTTAGCATGTGCACTCTTCCCTAAAGATATCTGATGAATTGTAGCCAGAGATGTGTTTGCAAGACACACGCCATGAATAATCAACCACTGACGGCACCAGACTCCTCTGTGCAGACGTCTTCCAGTCCCTCCAGGAAGTTACAATGGCAACTATTTACGCAAATCCCCTCATTATTCGGAAATTTTGCGCAGACTTGCAATTTTCAACTATCATCACAACTTTTCCATAAATATGACCAGTGACCTTAACGCTTTCTTTATTTCATTCTATTCTGATCACTGCAGCTCGGCTGAATTTTGACCAATCAATTTCGCCGCCTTCTAATTTAACTTCCTGTCTTATGACATATCTGCGAGACAAAAGCATGAGTGGCACAAAACGGTAACATTTGCCGTTTTTTTTTTGTGTTGTTTTGATTTTTTGCAAAGAAAAATATTTTTAGATATGCTGTTAGGAGTTACTGAAACTGTGCTTATGCGCTTCAACACATATTTAAAATACATTTTTATTGTCACAGTAGAAAGAGCAAAAGGTCAGGGAGGAGACATTAGACCAGAGGCCAGCAGCGGAGCGATGAGGCAGGGTCTTCTCAGGTAAGGAGGGATTTTAACGTGATGAGATAAAGAGGAGGAAAGGGAAGGCTATGTGCAGCAATTTCAACTTTTGTCAACATTCTGGCAAAAAGAAAACTTGAAGAAAATTCACAACTTTGACCACAACTTTTTGATAAAAGTGCAGCAAATTCAGTGACTTTATGCTGCAACAATCACACAAAAAACATTGCAACATTCTGGAGGGACTGGTGTTATCACCATCACCATCATCATCAAGCACAGTTTCACCACTGATTCTTTGTGTAACTTTAAAACCGTCATCAGGAACTCCCTCACTCCACCACGAGTAATCAGGAGCGTGCCCTTCGAGTCCCTGCGGAAACCAGCTACTTTTTTTAAAATCTTTTTTTCTTCTTCTAATTTCATGTCATGCTGCCGTTTTAGTCCGGTGTGACAGTGGCCTTAAACTATATTTAGTCATTTAAAAAAAAAAAAAAAAAATTAAATTAAAAAAGATAAAGCACATCTTTGCAAAGAAATACTTGTGCACAAAAACTTGTGATGTGTTTCAGACCAGTGGAAGAACATGTCCAAGGCGCTGACCAGTGCTGGCCACTCGCTGGTGGCCGTGCAGGACAACCTGATCGACGTGGTCTGGACGGACAGACCCGAAAGGCCGAGCACGCTGCTCCGCACCCTGGGACTGGAATACACCGGTCAGGCATCGACACTGCTGCTCCATGCAGGATTAGTTTACAATAGTAGAACGAGGTTATGTTTGAGTCTCAAAAATAGTTTTACAAATAAGAAAAAAAAAAGTCTTCCCTTTTTTGTTGTTTTAACACAATAAAAACAAGGAGGGAAGACTCGTTGGGTAGTACTCTGTCTGTACTACCCAGACAGAGTACTCAGTACTACTGTCTGGGTAGTACTGAGTACTCTGAGTTGAGGATGCCGTTCTATCTGCAGGTATCTCCTGGCAGGACAAGATCACGACGCTGCGAGGCAAGATGACGGAGAGGAAGATCAGCTGGTTTGTGGCTACAGCTCTGGACGAGATCGCGTGTACGTTAAGTTGGCAGAAATGTATCAGTTTTAAAATATTTAATCAAAGTCAAAGCTCCTAGTGATGCACATTTGTCTCAAATAGTCTCTTGCTGGAGATTGTTTGATCTGAGAATTTAAGTCGCCCACTAAAATGCCGACTTTGTCGGGTTTGAGTCACATTTATTCAAGATTATTATCAATGACAATGGCAGTTTGATAACAAGAGTGATGAACAAACCAAATAATTTTCCTTTCTGCGTGCTCTGATGGTGGATTAAAACGTAAATATTGCTACCTAATTTTGCTTATTTTCTGGTTTTGTTGACTTGATTCGGTGCTTTTCATTTTTCAGGGCTTTTCAACCTGCGAGGTGCAGACATTAATTACAACCCAGTGTTTTTTGCATACGCCATTGTGGGAATGAACTCCATAAGGTAACAGCACGACGTCGCAGCCGCATACTGGCATCAACTCTAAAGCTCCTGAATTGCGCTACAGGTGCTATTGTTGTAAAAACTTGATTTTTATAACAGAAGAAACAACAATTATGAATCATTACGGCTTCATAGCTAAAGTAGATATATTGGAAATTTATTTTACATATAGCAAATTATATTTCCTGTTTAAAAAAAAATATAAAAATCCAAAGCTATTCCTCAGTGTTTATTAATCCCTACTGGTTCGCGTCCAGAGGAGCTACTGAAATATGATCAGAGCAGAAATTGAGATTAAACCTTTGAGCTCCTTCCGTTGCTTTGCCTGTCAGTGTGACGTAACCAGGAAATATGTGGAAGAGGTTTTATTTCACATGAACAAATCCTCTCTGAAGTGAAATGAAGTACCGTATTTTCTGCACTATAAAGCACACCGGATTATAAGGCGCACCTTCAATGAATGGCCTATTTTAAAACTTTTTTCACATATAAGGCGCACCGCATTATAAGACGCATAGAATAGATGCTACAGTAGAGGCTGGAGTTACGTTATGCATCCACTAGATGGAGCTGCACTAAAGTGAATATCAACAAAAGGAGAACCTTCCGCGACTGGGCCGGGGCGTGGCCAGACGATGGTCACTGTCAGAGTTGACACCTATTAAACACAGCAAATAACACAGGAAAGACAAGAGAAAGTTAGATTCTTAATACTCGCGAGAACAGACAGAGATGTGCTTTCAGTTACAAATCTCCTACTGCTCTGAAGCACATTTGCCTGCCCCTCTCTTTTTTTATTGTCTTTAGGATCCCTAATCACAGAGAGCGCTGTAACTCTAAAGGGAGGGGGAATGACACTCCATCACACAGTCACAGCGCCAAGATTATCACTAACAACACAATCTATCTCACACTAGCTTATCTAGTTCCTGACCCAGGATCAAACAGGACAAGTTGTGAATCTTCACGGCGATGGTTTTATAACTATCTAAGAGGTCAAAGCAGGGCGTTCTGAGAAGAGCTGCTGTCACTGCTCTTCTTCAGAGAGGCCCTCTCTGAGGAAGGAAGCAGAGTGATTAACAATACAGAAACATTCCTTAAAAGATATGACTAAACCAAATAAGAGTACATAAACTAAGAACATATAAAACAGTATAACAAATAGTTGATAATAATACAATTTACCTAACAGTCACCCTTCTCCGTTCGGGCACAGCATGTTGGTGGAGAACGTGGTGGTAAATGACCTGCAGACGACCTGATTCTAGACGGTCGGTAGGTAGATAGGTCAGTCAAACTTTATTAAACCAGCGTTCTGACAACTATCCCAGTATGCACTGCGCGCTTCTTCTTCTACGGGCAAAAATGAAGTTGGCGGCTGCTTACCGTAGGTGCTAGACTTGTTGTGGTTCAATATTGGTCCATATTGCACCAATATTGAGCCACCGGATTATAAGGCGCACTGTCGGCTTTTGAGGAAATTGAAGGTTTTTAGGTGCGCCTTATAGTCCAGAAAATATGGTAGCTAAAAAGCTGTCAAAAATTACATCACATTAATATCCACTCTAAACTAATTAACATCTAGGAGTCTGGAAAGGGTTTCAAAATCTTTTCTATGGCTTTTTAGACTTCAGGCCTCAACCGCCTCAGTTTTGTAATTATATTAAAACATTTAAATATCACAGAAACACAGAAATAGAATAAATACATAACAGGTAAACACGTTTTCAGTCACTTTTTGCACAAGTAACTAGATATTTTCTTAGCATTTATGCATTATTGTTATACTGTATATGTAAATGTATAAAGTAGAACCTACCTTTAAAATTAAAGCAGTGTGTCAGTATCTTATGTATCTTCTTTATGAATGAATCCTTCCCCCTCACATCCATCCTTGCTTTTAGACTTTTCGTGGACCTGAAGCGGCTGTCTGACCCGGTGGTGCGGGACCACCTGCAGCTGGACTCCCCCAGCCGGCCCGAGCTGAGCGTCCAGACCTTCCCATATGAGTCCGTCTACACCGAGCTCCAGGCGATCTGCGCTGCGCTCGGCCCCAAAGACAAAGTGTGGATCTGTGACAAGGCCAGCTGCGCTCTTACGCAGGTCGTCCCAAAGGTGAGGGAAGACTGGTCGCTTTGTTCAGGACAAGGTCAGAAAGGGAAGTTGAACTCAGTTCTTGGTAAGCAAGAGAAGCTGTTTGTTTACGTCCTCATAGCAGCTGTTTCAGGTCGATGGTGATTTGTGTCGCAGGTTTCAAAGACGTTATAGGGAAAACACCCACTTGCATCTCCAGGATATCAGTTTTGAAGTTATTTTTAGATGTTCAGCAGTTATCCCGTTCCTCTAGCAGTCTGCACAAAAAAGGCTCACTTGTTGATTTGCTGATAATTGAACTAGCATCCTTAATAGAATATGCACAAAAATTGTTCTAAACTTAAAAAAAAAAATTTAAGTTTTTTGAGCTTAGTTTGCTGCGCAATCATTAAATTAGAACAATTTGTATTGTAATTATTAGAATTAAATAAATCCTGAGATACTTAGGATTTTTTTATGAATTGTGTGTGATTTATTTCTGTGTTTAATACATTTTTGCTTCATTTACATTAAGGTGTGTATCAAAGCATTTTTCTTTTGTCATTTCACAAATAAACATCAGTTGATATATATATTAAAACACTAGGACTGGTAGAAGGTGTATTGTCTTTTTTTTTTACTTGTTGGGTAAATTAAATAAAACAAAAAGGGAAAAAAATATTCAATGACTGTGATTTGTGTTGCCTCTTAATAATGTCTCTTTTGTTATTTAGGCTCACAGGACTCCGATTCCCTACACTCCGCTCTGCCTCTCCAAAGCCGTAAAGAACGCCACCGAGATCAAAGGCATGAAAATGGCCCATGTAAGAGATTTTGAACCTTATAAATATGTAATTTACATAAAATTAAAGACATTGATTTCCTCTTTAATTCAGTTCTGTTTAAAAAGTCGGATGTTTTTTTTAAATTATTATTTTGTTTTTATTTCTCCCAACAGATCAAGGATGCTGTTGCTCTTTGTGAACTCTTTGCTTGGTTGGAAAAGGAGGTATTCTTTTTCACAAAACCAATCTGTCAGTAAAAAAGTTTGACATAACTGGAGACTCACAGGCAAGGGTCAAGCCTGGATCAAGATTGGGTCTTTTGGTTCTTTGAAACTGGGAACACTTTGTTCAAGTAGATGCCTTTACATCACTTAGTTCCACTCAAACCTATAAGTGTGCCAGTGTTGTTTTTTTCACTCCACTTGCCGTCGCTTCGGCGGCTGTTTCCTAGATCCCCAACGGCAACGTGACTGAGATCTCTGCAGCCGATAAGGCCGAGGAACTCCGCAGGTGATTTTCAGTTTTCCGTGTCCAGTTTGTGACGTCAATTCGGTTCACTTTGTGTCACCTTTAATTCTACAGAAACCTGAAATGTTCTAGGTCTGAATAAGTGCTATAAAAGGAAAGAAAAATATATATTTGAGAATTCTGCCCAGCTGTCTAAAATACTCATGCTTCCTTTCACTTCTTCATCCTTCTCTCTTTCCTTCTTTCTTTACTACAGCTTTCTAGCAAAAGCTTATGGCTGTAGTAATATCTGCCTTATTTGACAGATATAAGGCAGATATTGTATCTGCCATCTTCAGGATAAAGTGGGTTAGGGTTAGTAAACATTTGTATTCAGAATTTAAGATTTTTATGTTGATGACAGACTACTTTGGTACATTTGTTTCTGGAAAAGTGTGAAGGTTTGACATTAAAAAATGTATAGGAACTCTGATTTCTGCCTTTAAAAGATGTGTGAAGACTTGTTAAATTCACCGATCATGAGCAATATCGCCCTCTACTGGACTTTTGAATAAAAAACATGTCCACTGGAAGTGTAAAAATAACATATTTTCATAAAACTTTGCATTTTTTTTATATAATTTGCATATTTATTTCAGCATAATTCGCTGACAGTGGTTTAAAATTTAGATTTTTTTTGGCATGGTTCAGCTTCCTAAAGCTTAGAGATTTTAAAGCAGTGTGTGCAGTGAATGAATTTCTTTCCGTTTTTCTTTCCAGTCAGCAGAAAGACTTTGTTGGCCTCAGCTTCCCCACCATCTCCAGCGTGGGTCCGAATGGAGCCATCATACATTACCGGTCAGTAAGGAGACCAAACAAACAAACAAAACATATCAGTGGAATAATTTTGACCTTTGACTCAGCTAACCCACATTCCCTTCTTGCAGACCCCTTCCTGAAACCAACAGAACGCTTACTGTGAATGAAGTTTATCTGATCGACTCTGGAGCTCAGTACATGTAAATATGTTGCTGTTGCATATCAGTAGTTTTATGACATGCTAATATCTACTGAAATGAACGAACAAGATAATTTGTGTTGTGCGTTTGGCAGCGATGGAACCACAGACGTCACCCGCACCGTGCATTTCGGGACGCCTTCTGCTTTCGAGAAGGTGAACCGCTTTATTGTTGTGAAAATGGGTTTAATGGTTCTAACGACCCAGTCTGTTGTAAATGTGGACAACTTTGCATTTTATTCCACCACAGGAATGCTTTACTTACGTGCTGAAGGGACACATAGCTGTCAGCGCTGCCATTTTCCCCAATGGAACTAAAGGTGAGCTCTGCTTCTCTAGGAGAGATTGTTGAGCAGAAAGTCATGAGGTCTGATGAATGAAGTCACTCATTTTGAACTCTCTGATACTTTATGGAAATGTATCTGGTATTTTCTTCTTCTTTTTAACTACAAGTCATCAGTAAACTGGCATATTACTGAGGACTGGTGAAGGACTTTTGCAAAATTAAGATGAAATTCTGTAAAAGCTTCACTTGACCTCATATTGTACAACGTTCACTTTGATATTGAATTTTATTTTTGTAACTTTTTTTGCCAGAAAAGTCAAATTTTGTTTATTATAAAAGCACTAGAATGATACAACATCCAAAGAGGTGAATATGTTTTATAGGCGCTGCATGTACTTTGGATTTTAAACTAGGAATCTTCAGATTTAAGATAACTTCTTTAACAATATTACAGCAGCTCTGTAATTTAAATCTGAGCTGCAGGTCAGACCCAGAGAGCCGCCCACAACATCAGAACCGCTTCCAAGGGTTCACACCACGGCAATTTGTTTGTAAAAAAAATTTAGGAAATATGTACTTTACAGCTTTTTCTCTGACTAACTGTGTCCGTGTGTCCAGGCCACCTGCTGGACTCGTTTG